CCCCCTCCCCCGGCCAGCCCCGACTGCGGCTTGCACAGCTGTGCCCCCTGCCATGGACCTCCCACACCCACTCGTCTTCTCCAGTCCCTTCTCTTCCTGGAGTTACAGCTGCCCAGGCATCCAGGTTAAACTCTTCTGCGGGTACTTCATCACATCCCAAAGACCCTTTTCCATACAAGCGGACTTCAAAATGTTGGAGAAAAAACAGGACTAAAATATCAATTTATTTTGGTGCAAAAAAAGATCATGAAATACGACCTCCCACACCCACTCGTCTTCTCCAGTCCCTTCTCTTCCTGGAGTTACAGCTGCCCAGGCATCCAGGTTAAACTCTTCTGCGGGTACTTCATCACATCCCAAAGACCCTTTTCCATACAAGCGGACTTCAAAATGTTGGAGAAAAAACAGGACTAAAATATCAATTTATTTTGGTGCAAAAAAAGATCATGAAATACATTCACAGTTTTTTCATAAACTTCTTGAAGACCCACATGGTCATATTCATAGGTTCCAGGGGTTACAACATGGAATTTTTTTTTTTTTTTGAGTCACTCTTCAGCCCACCGTAGACCCAAATCACAATTCCTTTTAAGTGGCAAAATCACGAAAGGGCTTTAAACACAAAGAGGATTTTATTATTAATTCAGCATTCTACACTGGCTGACTTCCCACAAGAAGCAAAAAGCAATCACATACGAACAGCCCAGGCCTGAGGCTTGCTGGGTGCTGGGAGTGCTGTTCTGGTCTGTGAAACTACTATAACGAACCGCCATAAACGGGGGTTCACAAAACACACAAGTTTACTGCTCACAGCTCTGGAGGCTGGGAAGTCCTAGCTCTGAGTCTGGCTGATCTGGTGTCTGGTGAGAACCGTTTTCTGATTTACCGATGGCACTTTTTCGCTGTGTCTTCACATGGTGGCAAGACAGAGGGCGCCCTCTCGGGTCCCTTGTGTAAGAGGATTATCATCTCGTTCATGGGAGCTCCATCCTCATGGCCTGATCACCAAAGGCCCTATCTCCCCCCATCGCCTTGGTAGGTGGGATTTCAACATGTGATTTGGGGGGAATTTAAACATTTAGACCATAGCATACATACGAGGGGACTTCAGAAAGTTCACAGAAAAATGGAATTAAAGTACAAGTTTATTTCCGTGCAAAAAATGTTTGTAATCCATGCTTGATAATACACATTTTCCACAAACTTTTTGAAAACTCCTCATGCACTACACAAGTGACTATTTCAGTTAGACCCACGACGTTTAAAACCAGGGGGTGGCATGTAATAGAAGAGAGATACACGTGGCCAGTCCCATCGGCTCTAGTTAAGGGAGCCCACCTGGCTGATCCCAGCTCGAACCCCGGTGCCAGGACTTGAAAACATGTTGGATGTGTATGTGCATGCCCAAAGTCTGAGCTGGACTGAGAGGTGGAGAAGGAATGGTGGCGTGACCACGTCCAACCGGGGGGTGCTGTGTCCCTCTCCCTCCCTATTTACAGAGAGCACAAGAAATGATGACAATCAAAAAAGAAAGGAAAGGAAGGGGGGAGGCCAGCAGGTGGCGTAATGGTTAAGGTGCTAGACTCCCACATGGTTAATCATGGTTCGAGTCTCAGAACCAGCTACGTGAGACTCACACTGGGAGCATGTGTGTGCGTGTCCAAGATCCCAAGAAGAAAATGGAGGAGAAGGGATTGTGGGTTTGCTCTCCTTCCTGAGGGGTGACTTCTTGCTTCCTGTCTCTTTGCCTCTCTGGTGAGCATGACAGTCCTAAAAGGAATCTCTCAAAAAAAGAAACAGAAAAGAAAAAGAAACGGGGCCAACAGGTGGTGTGGTAATTAAGGCACTGAACTCCCACATGCTTGACCGCGGCTCAAGTCACAGACCCAGTGGCTCAAATATCATGCCAGACACGTGTGCCCGCATGCCCAAAATCCCAAAAAGAGAATGGAAAAAGGACTACGGCATAGCCACACCCCCAGGGGGTGATTTCTCACTTTCCCTCTCACTGTCTCTCTCTGTTTCACTCCTGCGAGCCCATGTGCCCTATGGCAAAATAAATAAATCTTTAAAAAGAGAAAAGGAAAATATCAAAGAAATTCACATTATAACCATTCCTTACCAAAACTGGGAGAGTGCTTTGTACACAGTACGACCTCTTCCAAACTGGAACACGCGGCACCGCAGGTGGCAGGTTAGACCGCGTTCCCCGGGACCTGGCTGCTCTGGCGAGACCACCCCCCAGCTCCCAGTGCCCACGCGCGGCTCTCACTCACCCTCGATGTAGAGGGGCTCCACCACATCGTGGTTGATCAGCTCGAAGTTCTCGTGGCCAATCCAGTGCTCCACGTTCCTCTTCCTGCCCGTGAAGAAGTTGTCCACCACGGTCACCTCGTGGCCATCCATCATGAGCTTGTCGGTCAGGTGGGAGCCCACGAACCCCGCGCCTCCGGTCACCTGCACCAGGACAGTGTGGGAGACAGCCCCAGAGGGGTGTGAGCACGCGGGAGGCCACTCAGGGCGGGAGGACACCTCCACACTGCCCCACTCGTGCACTGGGAGTCGGGGAGGGCGCACAGGCGTGGAGGCTTTAAAGCAGAATCTTGACTCACACCCAGGCGAAGATGTCAGATCTGGACATGTCCGAGTAGTCCATCATTTTAAACTATCACCCGTGAATGATATAGGAAAACTGTATTTACAAGTTTCAAAATATCTTGGCTGACAGAGAATTTCACATCACTAAGAGGTGTTCTTAACAGATGAGATGTTGAGCATCTTTTATGTGGTTCTAACACCACTCGTCAAACGTTCTGCGAGGCTGACCCACATGGGAGGGTTCTGGATTTGCCTCCAGAGGCAGTGCGGGCAGTGCTGTAACCTGGGGCTGGCGGAGGCTGGGGAAGGATCACAGCAGCGGGACCCTGACGGGGCTGCTATCTGATGTGCTTTCACTCATAAAAGAGAAAGAAACTTAAAAAGAAAGAGCCATCGAATGCTGAGATTTGGTGAACTACCACAAAGCAGGTACTACTCTATCTGCACTGAGACCTCATGAGAAGCTGGTCCCTTTCAAATTGCTATGGACCAGCAGTTAACGTAATGGCTATGTCTCTGGACTCCCACGTAGTCGACCCCAGTTCATGTCCCGGACCCGGTGACTTAAACTCACGCCGAGCGCGTGTGCGTGCGTGCCCAAGATCCCGAGAGGAGAACGGAGGAGAAGGGATTGTGGCATGGCCATCCCCCCTGGGGGGTGATTTCTCGCTTTCTGTGTCTCTGTCTCTCTCTCTCTGTCTTTCTGGCGAGCGCACGCGCCCTATAGCAAAAACCTCTCCAAAAAAATAATTGCTTCTAAGAGCCAATAGGCAGCGGGTGCTATCTGCAGACTGAAGCCCACTGTGGGGTACACTGACTGGCCACGTGAGCACTACCCAGCCAGGAGCAGAACGACGTGGCTGGGAGGGTCGGGACAGGAGCACAGCAATGACACGTCTTCCAGGACGTCACCACAGATGTGAAACGGCGCTTATGTTTAGAAATCGTGTTTAATGTATAAAAAGACTTTCTCCAAATTCAATGGTGTACCTGGAGAGGACTGGATGAAGTGTGAAATTCTGGGAAGGGCATGGGGGATGACAAGGGTACGTGGTGCTAAACCTCGGAGCCTGTCCTCTCTGTTCCATTCCCCCCGCACCATCCCTCATCAGCATTCTCATTCACTGGGGCCACCAGGAGGCACTGGGCTCTCACATGACTGACGTCCATTTGAGTCCTGGACTCGGCAGCTTGAAAATAACGCGGGATGTGTGTGTGTATACACGCCGAAAATCCCAGGAAGAGAATGGAGGCGAAGGGACTGTGGCCTGGCTATCCTCTCTTAGGGAGGTGACTTCTCATTTTCCCCTCTCTCTCTCTGTCTCTCTCCTGTGTGTGCATATGCCCTATGACAAAAACCTTAAAAGAACAATCTCATTCACTTTACCCTCCTGTTTCAAACGTAAAGAATAGAAGGAAGGGACCACCAGTTAGCGTAATGGCTATGTCGCTGGACTCCCATGTAGTCGACCGTGGTTCGTGTCCTGGACCTGGTGGCTTAAAACTCACGCCGGGCGCGTGTGCGTGCGTGCCCAAGATCCCGAGAGGAGAATGGAGGAGAAGGGATTGCGGCATGACCATCCCCCCCGGGGGGTGATTTCTCGCTTTCTGTCTCTCTGTCTCTCTCTCTGTCTGTCTGGCGAGCGCACGCGCCCTACAGTGAAAATCTCTCCAAAAAAAAAAAAAAACAAAAAACATTTTTGTAACAGAAATAAACTCATACTTCAATTCCATTTTTCTATGAACTTGTTACCATGCCCTGAAAGCCCCGATGCCCAACAACTTTCAATTATCTTTACTGAAAGTGGCATGTTCTAAAATCTCCTTTGCTTTAAAAATAAGAAATAGACACCCAGAGAGATAGAGCTATTGATTAAAAATCTCAGCTCCCTGGTTTGGATCCCAGGTCAACCTGAACACACCAGGGGCACCCATGTGTGCCTGGATCCTGGCTGGCCGGCACAGGAGGAAGCTCATGGTGTAGCAAGATCCATAAAAGGTGCTGGTCTCCTCGCTCTCATAAGAAATAAGTGGAAATGTTAAGAGGACAGTAGATGTGAGAGCTCTTACAATGAAATGAATGAGAGCTTACATGGCTTTGACCCTGTCACTGCGGCACAGCTGAAGCAAGGCTTGAAGGCTAGAAGGCTTCCTGCAAGGCTGGAAGCCATGAGGCCAAGCAGAGGTGCACGTCCCCAGGTCAGCCTGTAAACATGTTGGCTGCACACACTCGAGCACCCAGAGTCCTAAAGAGCTGGAGGGCTGGAGAGTGGGGTGCACAGCGTGAAGAGACCCTGTTGGAGGTGCTTTCTCTGTATCATAAAAGATGAAGCTGGGCCAGCTGGTGGCACAGGGCTTAAGGTGGCTGGATCCCACACGGCAACTGCGCTGTTCTGGCTAAGTGCACGTGTGTGTACGCACCTACAACCCAGGAGGTGAACAGAGAGGACGGGATTGTGGCGTGGCCACCCCTCCTGGGGCGCTTTCTCACTTCCCCTCTTTTTCCCTGGGGAGTGCACATGCCCTATAGCCAGTTTTAAAAAGGACGACGATGGTGAAATATTAGCAGCTGTGACCCAGCTCTGCAAGCTCTGCACTGTGCCCATCTGAGTGTGCTTGCATCCTTGCCTCGAGGGTGCTAACAGCCAGCTAAGCGGCCACGTTCAAGGTCAGCTTCGAGCTCACACTGGTCACCAAATTAGCAAAAAACGTGCACTTCTTTCCAAGCAAACCTCTTTGTCCAAAGGCCTCAACGACTACTGAAGAGGCGTTAAGGTTTAGCAGTACTAGGCCTGACTCTCACGTGTGCTTGACCTATGACATGGCAGACGGAGGAACACTAACCGCACCGACTGTGGTGATGTGCAATGTGAAATGCCAACACTCGACGGAAGGGCATCCCACATGGAAATAACCGCAACTCTGACAAGATCGTGCAGGGTCACGTATCAGTCCTGCTACGTCTAAATAAGTTCCTCCACAAAGCGCAAGTTGGAGACTCAATCCCCAGTGGAAGTGTCAGGAAGTAGAGCTTAATGAGAAGGGAATTAGGCCACAAAGATACTATCCTTAGATGGGATGAATGCTCGGGACCGACAGATGGCATAATGGTTTATATCACTGGACGCCCACATGGCTGAGTGTGGTTCAAGTCCTGGACCCGGAGGCTTGCAACTCATGCTGGGCACATGGTAGTGTGTGCCCAAGATCCTGAGAAGAGAATGGAGAAGGAGGGACTGCAGTGTGGTCGTTCCCCCTGGGGGGGTGGTTTCTCACTTTCTATCTCTCTGTCTCTGTCTCTCTCACTCTCTCTGGCAAGCATACACACCGTATAGCACAAATCTCTCTTTAAAGAAAAAGGTGGGATGAATACTGTCATGTCAGGAGTGGTTTCTTTATAAAAGGATGAGTTCAGTCCTTTTGTCACTCTCTCTTCCGCCCTCTCTTCACCTTTCACCACGAAGTGACAGAGCAAGAAGGCCCCGCCACATGCCCATCTCTGGATCTTGGACTTCCCAGCCTCCCGAACTGTGAGTCAATAAATCTGTTTTTTTATAAACTACCCAGTCCCAAGCATTCTGCTAAAGCAGCATAAACAGACTAAGACAAGTGACGACATCAGATTTTGTGATCAGTCTGACTCATAGCAACAGAAAGATTAGAAAAAAGTCCACTTTCCTATGCTGCTTTAGAGAATCATGATATATTTCCATGTTCATTCTCAAATACGCACCTAATGTTTTGATGATGCAGTAGAAGAGAAACCCAAAATGGGCCTACAAGTATTAACAACCAACTTTAGAGTCTGCTCAGCATTAGATTTATGTAGGTCACCTCAAAAAATGCAAGAAACCTTCTATGACTTACAGAAAAAGAGATTACACAGGGAAACGCTCTAACATTGAGGAGTAACACCAATGTTCTAGGGTTTGAGATGCTTAGTCCTACACAGATGACGGGTGAAAGAGCAACCGAAAACCACCTGGTACTAAACACTTACATGTTCTGGTCACGGACAGAAAACTGGAATGGCAGTGTGAGGTGCCTACAGACCTACCCCTAAGGGAACAACCATAACTGATGTAAATTACTCGCAAACACACACACACAAAACTAGTGTCTGGAAATTGCCCTAAGCCTGCAGAGCAAAGGAAGGGACGTTTATCCAAGAAAATCTAAAATCCCACACGAACAGCAGGAGCCTGCAGCACTGGAGTTGTGACCCTGTTCCTTTTATCACCCTCCCGTCCCCCAACATTCACCGTGGCAACTGCTGAGTGTGGCCAAGAAAACGGGATCCCCGCCATTAGATATGCCATCTGACCAGGAAGGGGACGCAGAGAACAAGGAGATTCTGGCCGACCTGCTTCAGCCCGCTCACAGAGGGGTACTTCCCCCAAGAGAGCCAAGGCGAGAAGACTGAGCGCTGCTCCTGCCCGGCCCCTGCTGGTAAAACACAGCTGTCAGTCCCACCCTAGTTCCAGAGCGGGGCTCAGAGATCTGGGGACAGAGGCAGTTAATGAAACAGAGAATTTCATAGCTCGCCCCAAAGGAACTGACTTTACTTGGAAGAGAAAGTGAGCCGGCTCAAGCGCCACACAAACCACCCCAGCAGGAGGTGACACGCGGGAGGCTGGCAGCACTAGGAGACAAAGCAAGGCCTAGGCCCGTTAGTTTAACAGAGAACCAAGAAGAAGGACCCTCCGAGGCTCAGCGCTAACCTCGACATTTACCTCTGGAAGGAACCAGTCTAACTGGATCAGATGTGGGACCGTCTAGGACCCACGACGTTGCTGAAAGAACAGAGCACTCCGGGCCAGGCTGCAGTGTGGAAGTACCACTACTGGACTCGCACGGGC